AATAGGGTCCTTATAACACTTTAAATCATATTAATATACAATTTCTCTAAAACAGTGCAGTATTAAGATTTAATGTGAAGTACACATATAGTATGAAATGTCCTGTATAAGAACTGACCATTGTTTTTTTCTACTTATTTAAAATAAACTCTTTACAGTACTTTATATTATGTTAATACCCCGTTTCTTTAAAATGCTGCAGTAAAAAGCTTTTATGTGAAGTACACACATAGGATGTCCTGTATAAGATCTGACCATTGTTTTTTTCTACTTATTTTAATTGGGGTTTTTTATAGCACTTTAAAATATGTTAATACCCTGTTCCTTCAAAACTCTGTAGTTAAAAGTTTTCTTGTGTAGTACAGATATAGTATGGTATGTCCTGTATATGAACTGACCGTTGTTTTTTCCTACTTATTTGAAATGTAGTCTTTATAGCACTTTTTATTAGGTTATTACCCCGTTTCTCCAAAACAGTGCAGTAAAATGATTTCATATGAAGTACACATATAGCATGGGATGTTCTGTACAGGAACTGATCATTGTTTTTGTCTACTTATTGTAAATTGGGTCTTTATAACACTGAGTAATGCTAATACCCAATTTCTCCAAAACATTGCAGTAATAAGTCTTTATTTGAAGTTTAGAATGTGATGTACTGTATCAGACCTGACTATTGTTTTTTTCTACATATTTTAAATGAGCAATTTTTTTTCCAAATTGCTGAAGTAAAAAGTATTCAGATGTAGTATATATGCATATAGCATGGGACATCCAGTATCAAACCAGATCAGTCTTTTATTTAACTTATGTCAAACAATGTATTTATAGCACTTTAAAGACTTTATAGCTCAATAATAGCACATTTCTCCAAAATGCTGCAGTAAGTTATTATGAGGTATGCATATAATATTGGATGTCCTGTCCATAGTTTTCTTCTGTTAACTTAAATGAGGTCTTTTACATCAGGTATGCATGTACATCCTGTATCAGAACCAAACTTTGTTTTTTTTCTACTTATTTCTTTATAGCACTTTAAAGTGTGTTAATGGTACATTTCTCCAAAATGCTGCAGTAAAACAGGCTTCATATGATGTATGCTTAGTATTTGACTTCCTGCATCAGATCCCAGACAGCACACATACGTTGGGCCGACGTCGGCCGAAGGTCAACACGTCGGCCCCTTTAATTCTAACATCGGTATATGGTCGGCCAAACATACGCATGATCGTTCGGTCGTGTGTTCTATTGTTCCAGCACAACAAACGTCGGCTCTGCGTCGGTTAACGACCAGAGGCCGACGAAGCACTTCATAAGCACTTGATCTCTCATGCCCATGAAAGAATCCGGCAACATATTTAGTTTACAAGTAAGTTTTTGCGTGCATAATAAATTAGACAAACGCGACATGCGTCATGTGAACTGCGTCGGTCGGTCCAGCTTTAAATAGCCTACATTAATGCAGTAAAACTGACCAAAATGCCTACAATACATGATTTCAATTCATTAAAATATAAAAAGTTTTATTGTTATGCTTTAATAATGAAAACGTTGTTTTTTTCTGGTGTTAACTGCTGTTTGCTTTTTTTTATTGTGGCTTTTTCTAATACATTTTTCCCAGTGTAAAAATCAAGTATGTTCTGCATTTCGGCTGTTTAATTAAAATAAACACCTTTTTACAGAGTGACATCTTTGTTTTATATATACTTGCATTTATATTTATTGGTCATTTATTTTTGACAGTGAATGCACAAATAAAGTGTTTGTTTTGTAACAGTTTAGTAGGCTATAAAGCTCGTCTTAAAGATAATAGCGTATATAAAACTGCTAAATACATTTTAAATTCAAGATTTAAAATACAAGGTTATTATTTAAATTGTCTATGGAGTGATCATGTTTATAAATGCAATACTTCAAGACTTTAATGTGCGCGCGCGCGTCTTGCTTCCAACACTGGAGCGGAGGGGATGTTGCTATGGGAAACAAAGCTACAACACGACACGACACCACCTGAAAGACACAACACGACTTCTCTCAAGCTGCCGTTTTGACAGTTTTCAGGTAAGTTTAGTCCCTAAAACAAAGCAAATACTACATAAAACTGTTCCTCACACATTTATTATTGGCAATTGATGAATATTCAGTTGAATATTATGTTATATAAGAGTGGTAAGTCTTCGTAAAAGTCCGTTAGCATATTAGCACTGGTAACGTTAGCGTCGGGGTAATATTACGTTAACTTACTTAATGTTAGCTCTTGTTAAACTTGTTTGTTAAAGTTTTGGCTTTTATTTATTCTTTATGTGTAGATGAGAGGTTTTGTCAATGTTTTATTGAATGCACTCCATATGTAGTCTAAAATACGCATTGTAACGTTACTGTAAAGGACCGTGAATCAAAAGTTCAATCGTGTTTTGATATTTCATGGTATCTTAAACTAAATGTTAAGTAAAAAAGTGTTCTGTGGTTTCAGGAGTGAGAGAATAACCTCCTGCTACAGAAAATATAACTCAAGATTCCTAAATTTCTGAAGGGAGCTGATCACAGAGATGCAGGAAAGACGGGTAACTTTAAGCATAGGATTAATTCATATGAATTTCCATTGCACATCATTATGCACATGTTACATGTCTATATATTATGCATCTGTTACTTGTCTTTATTGCAGTTATTTTAAAAAAGTTTTGACATTGAAACATGCGAGTGGTATTAAATTTTACATCACATGATTCTTCAGAATTTAATAAATATGCAGATTTGCTGCTATATCTGCTGAAGTAATATTTGTGATTTTCATTTTGTTTAATTTTTTTATGATTAATTGATTTATTAAATCTTAGAAAAAGTTTACACTAAATTATTTGTCATCACATCTGTTTTTAGCATTGATAGCAATCAGAAATGTTTCTTGAGCAGCAAATCAGCACCATTTGATAATCACCATTATATTAGTTCAACCTCAAGCACTAAATCAACATCTTAAAAAAAGGTTTCTGAAAGATCAAGTGATACTGAAGACTTGAGTAATGATGCTGAAAATTCAGCTTTACATCATAGCTATGAATTACATGTATATTTACCCAGTTCACCCATCCCTTACACCTTAACTCATCCTCAAACAAGTCAATTTAAGCCCTAAATTAATAAATTTTGATTTGTACAGGCATGATATGCAACTTGTATTCAGTCGTTTTGTTTTTTCTTTCTTTTGCTTTTGTTTTCCACATCAACTGAAAAGAAGGTCAAAGTTTAACCTAAGTGCCGTGTAGCTGATGAACATCTTTATATGTAAGTATATTTTTGACTGACTGCCAGACACTTGTAAAACAGTGATGAGCAAATGAGGGGCCGTTCTTTTAAAAAAATCAGGGAGATGCAAGTCTGGAGATTAATATACATTTTAATTCAAAATTGATTTATCTGGAAATATTTCATAATTTATTGAGATATGTGCCCTTTATGCATTTAGATGTCCATCCACGTTTAAAATACTTTTAAATTTAACAAGGGCTGCAAGTTATAAAAACATAAACAAACACAAAAATGTTAAAGTAAATTGAGAAAACATTTTCATCAGTTTGACAACATACACAATCTCACAAATAGCATAGAAAAAGTGACAAAGCTCTCTTCTTTGTCTGTGTTTTATTACTCTCTTTGCACTCTCGGCCACTGTATGTAACAGCGATTAGTATAATGTAACAGTAGACAGATGAGGAATGTAAATATGTAGTTTAACTTTAAGGAGCGTTACTACTGGAACCATTTTTTTGTACATATATATATATATATATATATATATATATATATATATATATATATATATATATATATATATATATATATATATAGTATTGATTTACCTGTTAAAAAAATTAAGCAAAAAATTAATTAAAAGGTAGATCAGCTCCTGACAGACATGTTAACAAATCAGTTTAACTCTTATTAAATTCATTCATTCATTCATTCATTCATTCATTCATTCATTCATTCATTCATTCATTCATTCATTCATTCATTCCTTTATTAATCTGGGGTAACCACAGCGGAATGAACTGTCAATTTATCTAGCATATGTTTTACGCAGTGGATGCCCTTCCAGCTGCAAGCCATCACTGGGAAACAACCATATACGCTTATTCACACTCATACACTACAGACAATTTAGCCTACCCAATTCACCTGTACCCCATGTCTTTGGACTTGTAGGCAAAACCGGAGCACCCAGAGAAAACCCACGCAAACGCAGGGAGAATTTGCAAACTCCACACAGAAATGCCAGCTGATCCAGCCGAGGCTCGAGTCAGCATCCTTGCTGTAAGGCGACAGCACTACCTATTGTGCCACCACGTCACGCTCTTATTAAATTATATTTATATAATGTTGTGTTTCAGTACATGCTATTTTGGGAAGACAAAATATATTCATAAGCTCTCAGAAAATTCAATAAGAGAATTAACTGCACAATTACTTGAAATGTGTGGATGGGATTACATTATTTGTTAACCCAAAGTGAGTTTCTCTTTCTTTGCAGTATTGGATGCCTGATTGCAGTTCAACTCCAAACTCAGTTGGACCAGCTGATCAGTGTCTTCAGTATTACCACAAGCTACTGGGCAGATGTGTGGACAGCTATGAGCCAAACTTGGGACGTTTGGTTTTTAGGTAATACCAGTGACAAAGTATTTAGTAAATTGCTTATAATGAAAGATGCTTACTGCTTACCCCCTTATAGTTAAGTTGTTTGCAGTTTCATTGTTGTAAAAATACCATACTTTTTCCTTTTTTATCAGCAGGTGGAGAGACTGTCTGGGCAGCAGAAACAAGACAACTAATCATAGTTAGGTTGAGATTAGTATTATTAACTTGACTAGTTTGGTTGCAGACTTGTTCAATACTTAACAATTTGTATAAGTTACAAGATCAATGGTCCTGCTATCAATGTTTTTGTAACTTAAATTCATTACAGTTTAGATGCAATCAAATGTCCAAACCATCTCTGAGTGAATGACATCAAGGAAACAGGATCAAAAGATCATTCATTATAGACCGTTTCATAGGTAACAGCACATCCTTTGTGAAAAATAATTTATTTTTGTGTCATCATCACAAGACCAAATACATTTCAACTGATTTCAGTTGGTTATATTTTTCAGGTCATTCTGTTCTCCTGGTTGTGAGGATGTGCAGAGGCTGTATTTGTCAGTGTTATAAGACTTGTGCAGCTGTATCCAGACATACAAGCAGCCAACAAAGAGTTCTGGAGCAGGACAGACAGGTAGTTCACAGTGGCTAGGCTAGAAGTTTATATTCGGGTGGCCAGAAAGTGGCCTCCGCTATTTTGAGGGGGTCCATACAAATACACCAGTGTAAGCTATATTATTGCACTGAAAAAATTAAATGAAAGAATTAATTAATCGGTTGAACACAAAATATTTTAAAGAAAGTTTAAGTATCAAGGTGGAAATATACAGTATCTGTTACATTGTAGTACATGAGCTGGCTAATACAGACTCGTAAATGTTTAGTTGTTAAAATTAGTTAAATACTAAATCCTATACTTGAGACCGGCTGCATATACAGCTTTATCTGAACTGAATTTAACTAGAACTACACCAGCATTCCAAGTGCTCTAGACTAACTTTTTGCACTGGTGCGTCTAAAATGTTTGATGGCATTGCATTTAACACTGCAATTTTACATGTTAATTTTTTTTTAGATCACAATCCATATAGGCAATATTGACTTGTAAATGATTAACTAAAATCGGGTCAACACACATTATGGGGATTGTGTGTAGAATTTTGAGGAAATTAATGAATTTAATCCATTTTTAAATAAAACTGAAACATTAAAAATGTGGAAAAAGTGAAGCGCTATCAATACTTTCCGGATGCATTGTATATGGTTTTTAGTGCATTATCAAAGACTTAAATAAATAGTCCAACATTATCTACAGCAGCAAAAGACCCTCCACATCAAAATCTACTAGTCAGCTCACGATTCAGCAAACATCTGAAAAACAAATAGCTTATTATGCCTTCACAAGAAATCAGTGTTTTAATGAAGAGTCTAATGAAGATAGTACTATTTTATTAAATTATTATTTAGCCTGGCATGTTTACTGTTACAAAATATTTTAAATGTTTCTTAAAATAAAACATATTGTGTTCAATGGGGAAAAAGTAGCTGTTTTTTACACAGTAATAAAAAAAAAAACACATTTCAGAGCAGTAATCACAATACTGTGAAACTGTGATATTTTTATCCAAGATTATACCCTCAGAATCTTATACCTGCCCATTCCTAGCCAGTTACTTAAAGCATTCAGTCAGAGTTTTTTTTTGTTTTGTCTTTTTTCAGTTGGCCTATATTCTGTTTTTCTATGTTCTTGGAAATGCTGCTGTGCATGAAAATGTGACGATATATCCAGGTTCTATAGTTAATTCTGAAATAAATCTTAAAATGAAACAATATTTAAAAATGCAATATTTAATGTGTCAGACACTAAATAAACATGTCAATTCATTTATATTAATCTGATTCCTTAACAGGAGAGCACGGTGGTGCAGAGGGTAGCACGTTTTCCTCACAGCAAGAAGGTCGCTGCTTCGAGCTTCGGCTGAGTCAGTTGGCGTTTCTGTGTGAAGTTTGCATGCTCTCCCTGTGTTGGCGTGGGTTTCCTCCGGGTGCTCCGGTTTTCCCAAGTCCAAAGACATAGGTGAATTGGGTATGCTAAAATTGACCATAGTGTATAAGTGTGTGTGAATGAGTGTGTATTGGTTGCTGCTGGAAGGGCATCCGCTGCGTAAAACATGTGCTGGATAAGTTGGCCTTTCATTCTGCTGTGGCGACCCCAGATTAATAAAGGGACTAAGCCCAAAAGACAATGAATGAATGAATCCTTAACAGTTAAAATTAACCATTTGAGCGTGCTTAGTTTGGGGTATGTTGTGCCATTAAATTGTCAATAGGTTTTATTTTTTTCTACATTTTAAATCTGCTTTAGCTTTCTTCTTTCCTATAAACCTGGAAATATAAAATATATATATTTTTGGTTTTTAACAAATTGCTCATTTTATTCTTAGATTGGTGTACGCTGATGGTCTGCTGAGAATTCTGCTGAGTTGAAGGGATCCTCCTGTCAGACAACCTCTCCAAAGTACAATAGGACTAGTAAGTAACATACACTACTGTTTCATAGCTTTTAGGTTGGTATGGTAAATTCTCTTCTGATAGTGTCAGCTTTATTTAATTAATACAGTCAAGCAGTAATACTGTGAATTTAATACAATGTATATAATTAATAGTGTCACATGATCCTTCTGAAAAAATAGTATTCCAATGTACTGATTCACTCCTCAAGCTGTTTTATTTAAAATATAAAACATTTTAAATAAACATATTTTAGTATTCTTGATGTATGAAAAGTTTATTTTTAAGAGCATAGTATTTATTTTAAAAAAAGGGTTTGCTCTTTGATGATTGCTAACAATCAGACATGTTTCTTTAGAACAAAAAGAATTTGTGCAAAAAAGTATTCTCACTGAGCGTTGTTCAACTGTGGTCAACACGTCATTTAAGTTTTCAAATAAGCCTAAAAGACTTGATTAGCTGCATCAGGTGCATTTAATTAGAGAGTTGAATATATAATTTCTTCATATATCCTCCTCTATAGCCTACATATAATAGAAGTTGTTTGCTGAAAAACCTTTTTTTTGTAGCAGAAATAAAGCTATGATTAGGCCGACCCGGATTTTTCGCAGAACTCCGCAGATGTTAAGCCTATCATTAATTCTGTTTATTTGCTTGAGTAAATGTGTGTAAATCTATATTTATTCAGTTTTTTAATTAATTTCAGTAATATTATTGACTAATGTGAAAATGTTCATCTGATTTATGTACAATGAGGTTTGTACAGTAATATTTTCTGTCTTACTTGATATGTTATATGAAAAACTTGCTTTATTTACCAAATAAAGTGAATCTAATAGGATTTGCATTTTAAACATTAAATAAAACTTGAAAAAATATATTATCTTTTTATTTCATATATTAGGGTTTTAGTTATGATACTCCCAAAATAATTCCGCAGAAATCCACAGACTTCCACCAAAATTTTCAGCAGAAATAGCAAAAAACATCCGCAGATTCCTCCTGGCCCTAGCTATGATATATTAAATGTGGTGTACAGTGTGACATTTTTTTTGACGAAACTTAGTTTAATTTGCATGTAATGTGGTATCTGAAGATTTGACATATATTTAGATACACATTTATACTAACACAATGATACTAAAAACCAAAAAAAAACATTCATTATGATTTCACAAGGAATTTAACTTTCAAATGGCTTTTCTGAAAATTAGTGCTCAGACACACTTTTTAAGTTTAAATTAAATTACACATTTTAGCTAGGCACTTGCATAACACATACTCCAGTTATATGTCATGAAACAAATAATATATATTTGTGGTAATATGAACTGCTGCAATGCTAATCTTTCTCCTTTTGGTTTCTTGCTTTATTTAAGGGTTCCCACTACAAGGAGTAGATTTGGCTACTGCAGTCCCGGTTTGGGCCAGCCTCACTTGTGAAGACTAAAGATGAAGACAACATACAAGAACAATTTAGAGGATGGCGACACACTTTTTATTCCACCTATATATTCCCTTTTATGTGTAAGCAACATTCCACAAGATAAAACAAAACTAAATGACAGGTTATTTCTTTTCATTTTGTCTGTTTTCTTGGAACATTGTACACAATTTACAACCAGTTTTATATATATATATATATATATATATATATATATATATATATATATATATATATATATATATATATATATATATATATATAAATATATATATAGGTCAGAGCAAGAAAATATTATGTTTTCTTCTGGAGAATGTCTTATTTCTTTTATTTCGGCTAGAATAAAAACAGTTTTGAATTTTTTAAAAAACATTTTAAGGTCAATATTATTAGCCCCTTCAAGCTATTTTTTTCGACTGTCTACAAAACAAACCATCGATATACAATAACTTGGCTCATAATAACTTAAGTCTTTAAATGTCACTTTAAGCTGTATAGAAGTGTCTTGAAGAATATCTAGTCAAATATTATTTACTCAGTTATTAGAAATGAGTTCTTAAAACTATTGTGATTAGAAATGTGTTAAAAAATATTTCCGTTAAACAGAAATTAAGGGATTTTATATATATATATATATGACAAAATCTGTTTTGTGTCGTGCATTAGAGTTTGCTTAAAAAAACTGGTTATCTCTGAGAAGTATTGTTATTTTATATTATTGATGTGTTATTAGTTCAGAGGAGATTGCAAATTGTTGAATGCCATTTATAAAAAAAATTGTAAAAAAAAAAAATTTGACTACAGACTTTAATAAGATTTTATCAAATTATTTTAATTTGTATGATTTTATTTACTACTGTAAATATTGTTTGCTTGGTATTTATTTTGTGTTTGTGTCCTCTTTTATTATTGTAACTCCCTGAAGAAAGTCTTTTGGATACTGAACACATGACTGGTATTATCTTGTATTTTAAGATTATAGTCTTGAAAACATGCATTTTCTTTAACACTATTTAAGAAATTATAAGCATTATAACATGTGCTTACACAAGTTATTTGTGATTTTACTATAGTAAACTATAGTCACCTTAGTGTACATGTTTTGAAGCACTTGTAAATATTCCTATGGTCTTAATGTAAATGCTGCAATGGACTTTGTATTTAAAATCTTAGTTGCACATTAGTTCAGCCATGGTTATAGTACAACTTGTTGGTTTTGTTTTAAACGTGGTAAAACATGGTTATGTGTGATAAAAGTATGTTAATCTATTTGTGTGTTTGTGAAAATATTAATAAATCTTCAACTGTTATTGAGAGTGGTGTGTCGTGTTTATTATAAATAAGCAGCTGCTGCAGCTAGTGGTCCATAAGTATGAGCAAAACGCCTGAGAACAGCGCCTCCGCGGAGCGGCCGGTATTTCCGGTTGCGTCGTCCTAACGTCGGCCGGACAGCGTTTCCGATCATTTGCCGACGTCGCGGCGACATTTTGCCAATTAGCAAACGCTCCCTGAGCGACATCGCACCGATGGAATTTTGAAAATCGGCACGACGTCGGCCCAACGTATGTGTGCTGTCTGGGATCTTATTGTTGTTCTATTCTACTTATAACAAATAATAAAGTCTTTACAGTCATCTAAAGTGTAATGATGCCCCATATCCCATATACTGAAAGAAACATAACCTTTTAAATCCCCTTTAAATAAAATAAACATATATTTGTAATTTAAACAATGTTTTGTTGGACTACTTTATGATTGTTTTCACTTTCTGAGGTTAGCCACGTTGTATAAAATTGCATTTAACCTTATTTGCAATGTACTGTAGTTGGCTAGGATAAGTAGAAACGCATTCTGTGTATTTAGAAATCGTATATTTATTCTGTCCGTTTGATCTGCTATAAAATCATTTGAAGCAAAAAGATAAACTTGAGGAAATTAAAGGTAAGCCCAGAAACCAATTTCTTAAAATAACAACAGTCAAAAAAAGCTAATAAATTGTTTAATAAACCATACGTGGGAGGAAAGGGGGATAACCTTATCTTTCGTTGTTATCTCTCTGTTCTGGGCGAAATGGGTGCTCTGTGGAGCGCTCTCTGTGTGGCTGCTGACATTACCGTAATGATAATAATACGCGCGCACCGAAATATAAAGCGCGGCTGGCTTGACTGTGTTTTTCCGAACCGCGGCTGGCTTGACCGCAGTCCTAAATCAGTAGGCTACAGATGTCACCATTATAATAATGCACAGTTACTCAATCGGCCTATTAGTAAAAGATTCCAAAATAAAAACATTAAACTGACTTGTGTTATTCAAACGACATTAAAAAAATGCCGATTTGTTAAAGAGTTAAGCAAAAATGGGCGTATTATGTAAATAGAGTGGGCTTGCTCTATTTGATGGTAAATATAGTCTGCAAAACTGAAAGTGCAATTTTAAACGTGTTGCGATGTTTAAACCGTGCTTACATATTTATGTACCAGCCGTTAAATCGAGGACATTACAAATTGCAATTATTGTTATTTTATTGATTACTGTTTTTATTTTCAATAGTTTAATATCGCTAACTATTCTAAACATGTTTAATTATTTATCGTTCTGAACTGTCATGTTATTGATCTCTTTTGCACATCCTCTCCAGTTGTACTAAAGTCAAATTGTTTTCACAAACCAGCGTTGTACGGCATTATGTCAGAGGAGCAAGGAAAAGACTCTTCATTTGAGATTTCAGAGAAACACAGGTAAGCTGCATCTGTTTTCAAAGAATTATTTGTGACTAATTGATTGACTTGGTGTTGTTCATTGGTTTGTGCATTGTAGTCAATTATAACATAAACAGTTAAGATTTTGAAACTCATATCAGGATTTAATATCCACATAATTACTTACTATTGTGACATTACTTTCAAGCTACTAAAATGTTTAAACTACATTCAACATGACTGGAGGTAAATAATTTTAACATCACACTTATCAAAGTTATGTAACATCTACCA